CGCCATGCGCCCCGCGCCCACGAACCCGACCCACAGCTCCGACGGCTCCATCGCGCCCTGGACACGCCTCTGTCCCCGCCCCTCGCTCCTATTGGTCATCCGCGCCCAACCCCCTCTCTCCCATTGGTCACCTGCGCCCATCCCCTCGCTCCTATTGGTCGGCGCTGCTATAAGGGGCGTGGCCTGGACCCGGAAGGGCTTTGCGCAGGTGCCGCTGTGCCACGTGGTCTGTGCGGGTCCGGGCGTGGGGATCCCCAGGGGAGGGTCCCCAAATTTGTCCATGGATGTGGGGGATGCTTCCCTCTCCAGGATGCTCCCAACCCTCTTCTCCCCATAGGATCCCTATCCATTGGCATCCCTGGGGCTATGGGGGGTCCCCAAATTTATCCATGGATGTGGGAGCTGCTCCCAACCCTCTTCTCCCCATCGGATTCCCATCCATTGACATCCCTGGGGCTATGGGGGATCAACCCCAAGGCATGGGACCATCAGTTGGTGTGGAGTCTCCCAAATTTGTCCCTGGATGTGGGTGATGCTTCCCACTCCAGGATGCTCCCAACCCTCTTCTCCCTATAGGATCCCCGTCCATTGCATCCCAGGGGCTATGGGTCCCCCAAATTTATCCATGGATTTGTGGGGCTGCTCCCCACCCTCTTCTCCCCCCAGGACCCCTCAGTTCCACCATGCTCCCCCCAAGCTCTTGGGCTCTGCTGTTCCTCTGTGCCACCACCATGTTTTGGGGGTGGCTGAGCCTTGCCACCCCCCCAGAGAAGGTGGGGACACCACCCTGGAGCTTGGGGTCTCCTCACATCCTCCTCATGTCAACCAGCTTGAGGATGGAGCCACGTCCTGGGAGATGTCACCTCTGGACTCCTGTCACCATCTGGTGATCCCCTCCTGGCTGGGAATGTGGGGCCCTGGGACCACCCCCTGTCCCCCCACCCCTCTGTCCCCTCCTCTGGTGCTGAGACCTCCCAATGGGTGCTGAGGTCAACCCCTGGGGCTCGTTTTGGGGTGCTCATGTGGAGAACCAGTGTCCACCTGGTACGTGGTGTTGGGAATCAGCATAGGATTATGGTTTGAGGGGAGTTTGGGCCACTCCACCTCAATATTCCCCCTCAGGAGGAGCTGTGGGAGACCTGGATGAGGTCAACGTTGGAGGAGATCCCCGTGGTGCAGCTCATGGAGGACATCACCCAGTGGATGGGTATGAGCTGGAGTTTGGATGTTGTGACATCCCCATGTCCCACTTTGGGGCTGATCCAACCTCTTGTTCCTCTCCACAGAGAATCTGAGCAGACATGGGGTCATGGAGCTCCATGAAGGACAACACCAGGTTGTCCCATCCAACCTCCACCACGGGCAGGAAAGAGCTCAGGATGTTTCTCCCCAACTAGGTGGGACCACAGCAAACCCCATTCCCAACTTTCTTCCCACCAGGGTGGAGCTTCCATGGCTCATCCCATTGTCCTATCCATCTCTTCCACATGCAGAGAGCCACTTGGTCCTTCATGGGATGAAAGATGTGATGGAGAAGCTCCAGAGGCTCAACCAGAGCCTGGAGCTGATGCTGATGGCCATGGAGAACGCACGGAAGCAGCTGGAGAACCTCCACACCATCCCTGATCCAGATGGTGAGCTGGGATGGAGGCTGGAGGGTGGATAGATGCCAGTGGGTGCCAACACCAACCCCTTCCTCTTCATCCCACAGGTCAAACCCCAAGTGCCACCTCCACCTTCATTCCATATGGCTCCTTCTTCATGCTGCTGGTTCTTCTACTGGTGCCCACGCCGCTCCGTGCCATCCTCCTCCTCCTCTTCCTCATTTCCAGTGCCCTTGGAGAGCTCCTGGGCATTCCAGCGCTCTCCATTCTCCTGGTCCTGGCTGTGGCAGGTGGGGACAGGTGTGGGAACAATTGGTGGGGGACACATCACCTTGGGGATGCTCTGGTCTCTCCCATCTTCTGATTTCTCCACAGGGCAGTGGCTGGTGGGATCCATCTCCCATGGTGCCGGAGGGATTCGGCCGCTGGTTTCCCGGGAAGAGCCTCGTCACTGGCTCACCTCCACCCCAGAGAGGTAGGACATGGTGGAGGAGGTGGACAGGGCACACTTAGGAGGTGCTAGATCCCATCCTGGAGGTCCCATCCTGGAGGTCCCATCCTGGAGGTCCCATCCTGGAGGGTCCCATCCTGGAGGTCCCATCCTGGAGGGTCCCATCCTGGAGGTCCCATCCTGGAGGGTCCCATCCTGGAGGTCCCATCCTGGAGGGTCCCATCCTGGAGGTCCCATCCTGGAGGGTCCCATCCTGGAGGTCCCATCCTGGAGGGTCCCATCCTGGAGGTCCCATCCTGGAGGGTCCCATCCTGGAGGTCCCATCCTGGAGGGTCCCATCCTGGAGGTCCCATCCTGGAGGGTCCCATCCTGGAGGTCCCATCCTGGAGGGTCCCATCCTGGAGGTCCCATCCTGGAGGGTCCATCCTGGAGGGTCCCATCTTGGAGGGACCACCTGGCAGAGGTTCTCAGTAGGGAGCAGGACACCTTGATGGCTTCCCCACAACTTTTGGCCACCTTGTGCCATCTCCCTGCCCTGTTTCTGCGCAGAGGAGGGTGTGGAGAACCTGGAGAGGTTCACATCTGCCATCATGGTGGTGCCACAGAAGCCACCGAGGTGATTGGGCTATGGTTCTCCTTCTTCCCACGTAGGGATTGTGAGCTGGAGCTGCTTCAGGAGGAGCTGGACAGGATGGAGATGAGCTGTCTACGAGGTGAGAGGTGACCATGAGGTGGAGAGTGTGGTGGCTCACCCACCACACCCAGCATGTCCCCACCCTGTGCTGGGACACAGAATTTACCCCAGAGTGTCCCCAAGCTCTTCCAGGGCATGTCCCACCACCCCAGGTTGTCCCAAAGCTCTTCTAGGGCATGTCCCACCACCCCAGGGTGTCTCCAGGCTCTTCTAGGGCATGTCCCACCACCCCAGGGTGTCTACAGGCTCTTCTAGGGCATGTCCCACCACCCCAGGTTGTCCCTAAGCTCTTCCAGGCCATGTCCCACTACCCCAGGGTGTTCCCAAGCTCTTCTAGGGCATGTCCCACCACTCCAGGGTGTCCCCAAGCTCTTCTAGGCCATGTCCCACCACCCCAGGGTGTCCCCAAGCTCTGCTAGGCCATGTGCCACCACCCCAGGATGTCTTCAAGCTCTGTTGGGCATGTGCCACCACCCCAGGGCATCCCCAAGCTCTTCTAGGCCATGTCCCACCACACTAGGGTGTCCCCAAGCTCCTCCAGCTGGGGACAGGAGCACTGGGAAGGTGTCACCATCCATACCATGTTCTTGCAGAGCCCCAAGAGGTGGCTGAGGCCATCCCTGGCTTCACAGGACAAGTGTCACCTGTCCCTGGTGGCCAGAGGACAACACTGAGCTCATGTGGGGTAAGGTGCTGGGTGAGATATCCCCAACCTGGAGTTGTCCCCCTAAAACTTGCCCCTGGGGGCCAGTTGGGGCCTCCTGAGGGTCATGTCCTCCAGGGTTGGGGTGTCCTCATCGTGGTGGCACCTCTGGGTGTGGGACAACCCGTTGGGAAAGGAGATGTGACGCACAGGAAGAAGTGTTGGGTGGATGGAGATGTCCTGAAGGGTGGCCAAGGCACTCCAGGGGACATGGGACATTTCCTGAAGGACAGGAGGGTGAGAAAGGATGGAGGATGTCCCTTCTTCTCCAAGCAGGTGACACCAGAGCAGGTCATAGATGCTGGGAAACTGCCCAAACCCTTCAGCCCAAGGACCAACAGGTGAGCACCAACCATCCAGATGTTCCTTCTCCAGGGCTTGGTGTCACCACAGGGTGCAACCAGTGACCCGACAGGGGTGGGGACAGCTCCACTGGTCACTTCCTGAGGTGCTGATTGGTGTCTCCTCCCTAGGTCCTTGCTGTCTTCACGATCCTTGTGCCAAGGGCTCACCAGGACTGGGCAGCGATGCCGGAAAAAAGCCATTCCCAGGCAGAACTTCTGCCACATCCACGCCCCCACCAGCAGCTTGGCCAAAGGTTCATCATCCCCCCATGTTTGACTTTCTCTCAGAGGGTTTTGGCTCTTCCAAGAGCCACTTTGGCTCTTCCAGGTCCTGGTAGAGAACAGCCTTGGGATGCTGTTGGATGTGGGAACAGGGACAGACACTCCTCATCCAACGATTTTATGGGATTTGCATATGTTTTAATAAATGCCACATTTAGAGCTAGAGTGTCTCCCATCCTGGTGCCACCAATCCTAATGTTGGAGCTGTGGGATCATCTCCACGTGCCAAGGGCAAGAGGAAATCCCAGGTTGCCATTCCTACCCCAAGGAACCCCTGATTGCTCCTCATTACAGCTCATTAGTGTCGCTCGTTACGGTTCAACCAGAGCCACCACCTTCTTGGTCATGGACATGGTGGTGGCTCCATCTGGTTGTTGCCACTACCTGCTTCATTTGAGGTCCCTTTGGAGTGCCCCAACCTTCTTCCCCATGGCCCTGGGCAGGAATGTTGGGGCTGTTCCCTGGGCTTTATCCTTTGGGAATGTCACTGTCACCTCTCCCACCCCACCAGCCACGTCCTCTGCCCCAGCAAAGGACAACCCTGAGTTATTGAGGATGATGTCGGTGCCAGGTGATGCTGGTGCCACCTTGGTCCATCACTTCCTGGCGTTGGCGTAGTTGGCATTGAACCAGGCACAGGTTTCCTTCACGGCTGGGGAGGGAGAAGATGGGATTGGGGATTGGTGGGAGGATCATGGAATGGGGTGGAAGGGATTTGTCTAGGTCATTATTTTGTTTCTAGGTGTCCATCAGGCTGGGGAGGTTGAAGTTGGGCATCAGGAGGAATTTTTCCATGGAAAGGGTTGTTAAGCATTGAAATGAACTGCCCAGGGAAGGTGGTGGAGTCACCATCACAGGTAGAATTCAAGGACCAACTGGAGGTGGCACTTAGTGTGCTCTGGTCTAGCTGACAATGCTCAAAGGTTGGACTTGATAATCTCAGAGGTCTTTTCCAACCTAAATGATTCTCTCTGGTTTCATCCAACCACCAGGCAAGGAGACACCTCCCACCAGCCCAGGTTACTCCAAGCTCCATCCAACCTGACCTTGAACTCTTCCAGGGATGGAGCATCTACCACCCCTTTGGATAACCCATGAGAGTGCCTCATCACCCTCAGCAGAACCAACTTCTCCCTCCTCCTGAGGGACCACCCTGATGCCACCAAGGCTGATGGCCATGGCTAGGACCCACCACGTCCGGTGGACACCTCCATCTCACCTTGCCTGAAGGGTGTGAACTGGAAGCCAGGCAGGTACCGCCGCAGCTTGGCGTTGCTCGCCGTCTTCTTGAACTGCCCATCGGCCTTGGTGGTGTCAAACTGGGATGGGAAGGGTTAAGGAGGAGAACCAGCTCTTGTTTTGACCCACCATGTCCTGGAGGGATGGTCTGGACCATGATATCTCCTCTGGAGATGACCCAGGGTGGGTCAAACTGTGGTGAAGGATACAACAAGTTCTCCCTTGAAGTCCATGGCCTCTACGATCGCTTCTGCTGCCTCCTGGATGGAGACTTCTTCTTCTTCTCCCACTGTGGAGATGGGAATGATTGTGGTTGTTCCCTCTTGAGGAGGAGATGGAGAGGAGAAATTTAGGGGCTTACCTGACAAGATGATGGGCTCCACCTCATCATATTCCCGCAGGACCCAAAGGAAGAGCCGTGCCAGGTCCTGTGGAAGAGAGGACAACCTTTGGAGAGGTCACTGCTGTCTCCTATCCCAAGAGGACCCAACCCTGAGGATGACCCAGGACAAGCCAGGCAGGCTCAGACCCTGCTGAGGTCCCACCCCCAGCTCCATTCCATCCTTACCCAACTCCACACCTACCAGGGAGTAGATGAACTGTCTCCTGGGCTTTCCTGTGCCCCAGATGGTCAGAGGGGAGTTGGTCTCTGCAGGAGGAAGGAGCATGTCCATGACCACCAGAGCCACCTCCACCCACCCTGCAGAGCACCTCATCAACCAGGTTGGAAAAGACCTCTGAGATCAGCAAGTCCAACCTACAACCTAACACCACCATGTCAACTAGACCAAGGCCTTGGCCAGTCTCTCCTTCAACACCTCCAGGTGTAGGATGATGACTCCACCACCTTCCTGGACATCCCATGGAGTAGGTGGGAACCAAACCCCCCAAACCCTTCCCAGAACAGATCCATAGATCCATAGAAATCCTGCCACCCTCACGTTTGGCCAGGTAGACCTTGTGGATGAGGCCTGGCAAGACGTGTCCATCCTCGATGTTGAAGTTGTCGTGTGGCCCAAAGACGTTGGTGGGGATGACGGCGGTGAAGCGACGGCCATGCTGCTCGAAGTAGCCCCTGGGGGAGAGCAGGAGGGGTTAGGGGGGTGGTCAACCCACCACGGTCACCCCTGACCAGCACTAAGGGGTCCCCAGAAGTCCTTGGCTAGCAGCATCTTCACCTCATGATCCATGTATCTCCCCACCTTCCACCTCAGCTTCATTCCTGGGAATCTCACTGGATTCTCCTTTCCCTGATGGCCAACAGGTCCCCATCACATTGAGAAGGTCCAGGCCTGAGGTGTCCCCAGAAGACCTTGGCCAGCAGCATCTTCACCTCATGATCCATGTATATCCCCAACTTCCACCTCAGCTTCACTTCATTCCTGGGAATCTCACTGGATTCTCCTTTCCCTGATGGCCAACAGGTCCCCATCACATTGAGAAGGTCCAGGCCTGAGGTGTCCCCAGAAGACCTTGGCCAGCAGCACCTTCACTTGATGATCCCATGGATCTCCCCAACTTCTACCTCATCTTCACTTCATTCCTGGGAATCTCACTAGATTCTCCTTGCCCTGATCACCAACAGGTCCCCATCACATTGAGGAGGTCCAGGCCTGAGGTGTCCCCAGAAGACCTTGGCCAGCAGCACCTTCACTTGATGATCCCATGGATCTCCCCAACTTCTACTGTGAATCCCAGTGGATTCCTCTTGACCACCCACAGCCTGTGAAGGGTTTCCCATGTCCTCCTGCTCACCTATTTTGGACATCAATCATCCTCTTGGCGTAAGAGTAACCGAAATTGGAGCTGTGAGGTGGTCCATGGTGAATCTGGGGACATCAGAGAGGACAATTAAGCAGGGCAGGGATGTCCTCTTGGACCATGCATGGGGCCAGGGACACTCACCATGGTCTCATCGATGGGATACGTTGTCTTGTCTGGGAAGATGCAGGTGGAGAGGCAGGAGACAACTTTCTGCACCCCCATCTCGTAGGCTGAGTGCAGGACGTTGTCGTTGATGTGGATGTTCCTCCTCTGGGACAGGAGAAGTTTGTCAGGACCATGAGGTGGTGACACCCCAAATCCTTGTGCCCTACGAAGGCCAACTCACTGATGACCCCAAGAACCTCTGAGAGCAGAGCAAGGTATGTCCCTGTGTCCCCAAATCCCAACTTGAGGTGGGTTGAACCCCCCAGAGACCCCAAGAGTTGCCATTTCCCCAAGTTCTCACCCAAAACTCCAGGTTGCAGCGGATGTTCTTGAAGAGGCCTCCAACCATGGCAGCCAGGTGGATGACATGGGTGGGTTTGTGCCTCTCAAACAGAGCTTTGGTCTCTGAGCTGCTCCTGGGAGTGGAAATTTTGGGGTTCAGTGAGGTCAAACCAAACCCATCGAGGCATCTCCGAGGCAAAACCCAACTCACGTCAAGTCGGCGTCGCGCGAGGACACGAAGATCCACTCCTCATCTGGTTGTCCCTCTCCATCAGCCACGACCTGCTGGATGGCTCTTCCCACCAAGCCAGTGCCACCTGTCACCAGGATGTGCTTGGTCACCTCTGTCATGGCCAAAAACCCTGTGGTGGTGGGACAAGCTGAAGGTCACCTCGAGGTGCTGTGGACCACCCTGGTGTGGCCACCAGGAGCACCAGTCAGGTGGGATGGTGGACTGGGAGAGGTTTCTCATGGTTCCAGCAGTGGAAGGGAAGTGGGAGTGGTGTGTGGTGGCTGGTGACGTGGCACAAACTCCTCAGCTGGAGGAGTTAACTGGTGACCTTGGCTCGTGGCCATGTGCTGGTGACACCTGGGCTGGGCACAGATCTGCCACGTGGGTACACACAACACAATGTGTCCTCTGGGAAGGGAGGTGCCCTGAACCTCCCTGAGATCCTCCTGCATCCCAAATCTCATCCTGAACCCCCCCAGAGATCCTTCTGAATGCCAAATCTCATCCTGAATCCCCTCAGAGATCTATCTGCATCCCCTGAGATCCTCCTGACCCCCCCGAGATCCTCCTGCACCCCAAATGTCATCCTGAACCCCCTCAGAGATCCTCCTGGACCCCAAATCTCATCCTGCACCCCCTGAGATCCTCCTGCACACCAAATCTCATCCTGCACCCCCTGAGATCCTCCTGCACCCCAAATCTCCTCCTGAACCCCCAGAG